ACAAGGATCTACGATTGTGCATCGACTACCGCAAGCTCAACGCGCAAACCATCAAGAATGCGGGGCCTCTTCCTCGCATCGACGATCTTCTCGAGCGGCTGGGCGGTGCGAAGTATTTTTCCAAGTTGGATTTGAAATCAGGATATCATCAAATCTCGATTCAGCCTAATGATCGCTACAAAACCGCATTCAAGACGCGGTACGGGCATTTTGAGTGCGTGGTCATGCCTTTTGGCCTCACCAATGCCCCGGCGACATTCCAGGCAGCAATGACCAATGAGTTCCGTGCAATGTTGGACCGGTTCGTGCTGGTCTACTTAGACGATATTCTCGTCTATAGCCGAACATTGGAGGGTCATCTTGGACATCTTCGACGAGTGTTGGAGACGCTCGACCGTGCTAAGTACAAGGCCAACCGCGACAAGTGCGAATTTGTCCGGCAAGAGCTGGAATACTTGGGCCATTTTGTCACACCGGAGGGCATCAGTCCGCTATCGGACAAGATTCAGGCCGTCCAAGAGTGGTCGGAGCCTCGGAACGTCACGGATGTCCGCTCGTTCCTCGGTCTTACCGGCTACTATCAGCGCTTCATCAAAGGCTACTCCAAGATCGCGGCCCACTTGAACAAGCTTCAGTGCGAGTCGCCCGTTTGACTTTGGAGAGGAGGCGCGGGGATCATTCCTCGCTCTCAAAGCCGCGCTATTGTCCGCGGAGGTCTTGCGGATATACGACCCGCTCGCGCCTACACGTGTCACTACAGATGCGTCAGGCTATGGCATTGGTGCAGTCCTCGAGCAACATGATGGTGTGGACTGGCACCCGGTCGAGTACTTCAGCAAGAAAGTGCCACTCGTGCATTCCATTGACGATGCACGCAAGAAGGAGCTCCTCGCCTTCGTCCACACGCTCAAGCGGTGGCGGCACTTCCTCCTTGGTCGAAGCCAATTTCGCTGGGTAACGGACAACAATCCGTTGGTCTTCTACAAGACCCAAGACACCGTCAACAGCACCATCGCTCGATGGATGGCTTTCATCGACTAGTTCGATTTCTTTCCCGATCACATTCCCGGGAAGTCGAACCGTTTTGCGGATGCTCTTTCACGGCATCCGAATCATTGTACCGCGGTCTACTTGACTTTCGAGATTGACAATGATCTGCGGAACAGCTTCATCCGCGGCTACCAAGCCGACCCCGAGTTTCGCGACAAGTATGCGAATTGCTCCTCTCCTAATCCGGCTCCTCACTACCGGATCCAAGAGGGGTACTTGCTTGTCCACACGCGGGGGAAGGACCTTCTTTGCGTACCGAGTGATCCTCACTTGCGTACACGACTTCTTGGCGAGTTCCACGACGCTCCCACCACTGGACATTTTGGAGTCGATCGCACGATTGGGCGACTTCGCCAGCGATTTTGGTGGCCCGGCCTTCTAGGCGACGTCACGCGCTATTGCGAGTCATGCGAGGTTTGCCGACGCTGCAAATCCCGCAACCACCGTCCGTACGGCGAGTTACGACCATTGCCAGTCCTGTTGAGGCGAAGGGAGGCGATTGCCATGGACATCACCGGCCCGTTCCCCAAGCACAAGACCGGAGTGGATGGGATTCTCACGGTGGTCGACCGACTCACCAAGTTCGCCATGTTCTTGCCTTGTCGCTATCATGCCAAGGCACCGGAGTTGGCCGAGGTTCTGTACGCCGGTTGGATTCGCACYAAGGGTTACCCCAAGGAGATCGTCTGCGACCGCGACACTCGTTTCATGTCCGATTTTTGGTTGGCGCTCATCAAGCGATGGGGCTCATCTCTCAAGCCCAGTTCAGCTCGCCACCCTCAGACCGATGGCCAGACGGAGAGGGCGCATCAGACCGCACAGGTTCTCCTTCGCACTCTCATCCGCCCCGACCAGAAAGACTAGGTTGAGCGACTGTCGGACGTTGAGTTGGCCTACAACTCTTCCATCCACCCGGCTATTTGGATATCGCCCTTCGAGTTCGAGCACGGCTCGCCGGTCACGTCACCGTTCGACACGATTACTCCACGCACGGCCGAGAGCGACGACCATCTTCTTTTCTTGCGTCGGATGCAAGAGCTTCTTGTCAAGGCACACGACCAGATGGCTAAGACGCAACAGCGCATGCGCCAACAGATAAATCGTCAGCGTCTTCCTTGTCCATTCCGCGCCGGAGACCTCGTCTGGGTTTCAGCAGCGGAATTCAGCCTTGAACAAGACGTCTCTCGCAAGCTCCTCCCGAAATGGATGGGGCCTTGGCCGATCAAAGAGCCCGCTGGGGACGCACCCGAAGGACCCTCCTTCATGATTCAGGTGCCTAGCCACTTGCATGTCTACCCAGTCTTTCATTGCTCCAAACTGGCTCTCTGCACGCCAGCGGATCATGACGACTTTCCCGGGAGACGGACGCAAGGCCCACCTTCTATGGATGGTTTTCAGGAGGTCGGCGACATCATCTCCCAACGACGCTTTGGCAACAAGCCAACTGAGTATTTGGTGCATTTTGCCTTCTGCACACATCGAGCTGACCGTTGGTTAACCCATGCGGAACTGCAAGCGACAGCTCCAGACGTTCTCGCACGCTACGAACGCAAGATGCAAGGCAAGCCGGTTTCTTCGGCTCCACGCCGCGCCCGCGTCCAGGTTCCACCTTCAGATCGACGGCTTCGCCCTCGCCCCGGCTTGACTTCATAAGGAGGGGTGTTACATGCAGCATGTGCACACACGGGCCATTTTGCAGGCCCGACAGCGTCCAGGCCAAAAGCCTGAACTTCAGGCCGAAAGCCTGAATTTCAGGCTGAAAGCCTGAAATCCAAGGCTTACAGGCCCCCTATCGGTTCAGGCCAAAAGCCTGAAGTCCAGGGCCTATCCCTGGTCGTTCCAGACTAAAAATGGCAACAGCCTTTTTAGCCTGCAACGAAGGGCCATTTTCGGTCGTTCATCAGAACGACCGGCCTTGAAACTCAGGCACCGAACCAGGGTTTCGGAAACAGACTATTATTAGTCTGTTTCCCACGCCAGCCTCAAGCAGGCTGCTGCACGCCAGCCCCTGGCACATTTCGGCATTGGCAAGAGCTGCCTCCTCGGCCTGACTGCCCTCCAGTAGTCAGGAGGCAGGCCGAGGTAGTACATAGGACTTCCCAGGCACTTCCGAGGTAGGCAGTTGGTAGTTGTAGTCTTCAGGATTCGGGTGCAGCACTTTGGAGGGAGCGCTGCGTTGTAGTAGTGGTAGCGTTAGCTAGTAGTCTTCAGCGCTGGGCGCAGTAGGTAGTTGTAGTCTCCAGTGCTGGGTGCCATACCTAGGTAGTACTAGAGAGAGAGAGAGAGAGAGCGCTTGGGCGGAGGCCAGAGGTACCTACCTGCAGCGCTGTTGCTCCAGCTTCGTCTTCGAGGTACCTGCAACACAGCGCCAACATCACAGGTTAGTACTTGGTTCGTAACAGAGAGAGAGAGAGAGAGAGTTCTTCTTCTTCTTCTTCTTCTCAGTCCACCATCTCTTCTCTCCCTCTCACTTCTGACTTCACTGCATCTGCA